AAAGGGTGGTTCGCATGTGGAATCAATTTCCTGAAGAAGTGGTGAAGGTGGTACAATTACAACATTTAAAAGACATTTGGATAAGTACATGAATAGGAAAGGTTTGGAGGGATATGGGCCAGCAGTAGGCAAGTGGGACTAGTTTAGTTTGGGATTATGGTTGGCATGGGCTGGCTGGACCAAAGGATCTGTTTCCATGCTATATGGCTCTATAAGTAACGCTAAGCTCAGTTTATTAAAGGGGGTTTATAGATTGCAGAGAGATGAAAAACAGGTGAGCTTCAGGAAGGCTCCAATTAATGAGTTAGGGATCTAAAATCTAAAAGCGTAATGCATTTATGAACAGTGAAGGCATATTGACTAAAATGAGAAGGAGAGTGAACAAACGAACAACAGTATTGAAAAAACATGAGAACAAGTTACTTGGAGTCCAACTTGGAAAACAGTACTAAAGGAAGAACAAATGGTTTCACTACTCCCATCAAAATGACCTTAACTCCCAACGGAAGGTTTTAAAATTATCAGCATAAACTTAGTTTTGTTACTCTAATTTGACCCAAAAGAAATCTCCCAAAAGTGAATGGCAATTTTTTGTGGTTGAATTAAATCCTTTGCCATCACATCATAAACAATGATTTGATGTATTGAAGATAATAAACAATATTGAGATAGTGGGATATGTATACATATACATCCCTAATACCATTGAATGCAAGTTTGGGTTTCTGGCTTTGGAGTTAGTAATCCGTGGATTTTCTGTGTGTATGAAGTTAATAATTAAAATGTACGCATTTCTGCAGCCATGGTGATTTCTTTTAAAACAGTTTTTGAGTTTTGGCCTTAGTGATTTGGGCTTTTTGAACACCACAAATGGATTATTTTGTTTATCTTAGATTGTTCTGCAATGCAGCATTGTAAATAATGGGACCTCAAGGTTTGTTAGAGACTTCTGAAAATTTTTTAAGCTTAACATATAGAAGGTTGCATGGGCGAAGACTATATTAGAGAAAACAAAGAGTATGCATTATTGAGACTATATCGAATTGACATAATCTTTAAAGTGGAGTCCACGGGGGTTTATGCTGGGGCCTCAACCTTTTACAGTTTGTCAATGACTGAGATGAGAGGCACCAAGGCATGGTAGCTAAATTTTCACGTCACCAAGATAACACATACAGATGTATGTTATCAATAAGACCAAAGGAGGCTGCAGATGGAGATCATTAGATTTTTTTTGCCATTCGTTCAATCTACCCAATGGACCATAATATGGGAAAACAGGAGGTTATTCACTTCGACAGGAAGAATGAAAAAGCAGAGTATTACGTAAACAGAGAAAAACCGAGTGCAGAGGAATCTAGGTGCTCGAGTGTATGAGTCTCAAGAAGTCAGTATGTAGGTACAGCACGCAATCAAAAAGGCTAATGGGATACTGTCCTTTCTTACTAGAGGCATTGAACCTACAAATAAACATGCTATGCTTCAGTTATATAAAACATTTGCGAGGCTGTATTTCAAATACAGTGTGTAGTTTTGGTTTTATTTAAGGAATAATGTAAATGGTCTGGAGGATCTTCAGAGGTTTGCCAGATTGACAATTGGAATAAGCAGGTTGACTTAGGCGGACAGGCTGGATATTCTAGGCTCATTTCCACTCGAGTTTAACAGAGCGATGGGTGACTTGAATGTAATATAAGATTTTGTGTGATTTTGACAAGGTAAATGTGGAAAGAATGCTTCGTCTTGTAGGGAGTCCAGAATTGTGGGTCACTATTTTAAAAGTAGGGGTCATCTTTTTCAGAAGAGATTAAGAGAATTTTGTTTTCCTCACACAGGATTGAGAGACCATTCTTTCTGTCTTAAAAGACAGTCAAGGTGGGGGTCATTATATATTTTTAAAGCACAGTTCAATAGATACTTGTTAGGCAAGGGAATCAAAAGTTCTTGGATGCAGATTGGAATATGGAATTCAAACCACGAACAGATCAGCTATGATCATACTGAATGGCAGAGTAGGTTAAAGGTGGCAAATTGTCTCCTTCTGTTCCTATTTTGTATATTCATAAAGAGGTGGTTCATGTATAAAAAAAAATCAATCATTTTATTTTCATCTTCATAAAATAGCATTTAGACTTTGAAAAGCCAGTTAATAAGTTGTTACAGAATAGACTTAGCGGCAAAATTAAAGTTCATCACAGCAAAGTGGCAGTGGCAGCGGGGGCATGCACATCAAATTCAGTAAGTAATAAAAAGCAGAAAACCAAGATGAGTATTGTTTTCCCCTACCCGGCAAGTCTACAGTGGTATTCCTCAGGAGTTGTTGTTAGGACCAGTGCTTTTTTGGTACATTCTAATGACACTAACTAGAGTGTAGAGGATACAATTTCAGTTCAATGACATGAAACTTGGAAATGCAGTAAAAATAAGGAGACTTTTAAGAATCATACAGCACGGAAAGAGACCCTTTGGTCCAACCCATCTATGCTGACCAGGTATCCTAATCTGAAGTAGTCCCATTTGCCTGTGATTGGTCCATTTTCCTTTAAACCTTTCCTATTCATGTACTTATCCAAATATCTTTTACGGGTCATCATTGCACCCACCTCTACCACTTCCTCTGACAGCTCATTCCATCCAGGCACCACCCTCTGTGTGAAAAAGGATTGACAGAATATGATGCAGTGCAGTGTGATGTGATGCATTATGATAAAGAGGGATGAAGTCATATGAATTAAACAGTATGAACTTTGAAGGCAGAATATCAAATTGATAAAGCTCTTTTAAGAGGAGCATGTGGAATCTTTGGCTTTATAATTAAAGGCACAGAACACGGAAGTGAGCAAACTATATAAAACCTTTATCAATGATTAGTCTCTGCTGTAGTGATGTGCCCTTGGTCCCACACTCTTAACTGGTGCCTTGATGACCCATTTAACTATTCCCACATTTATTTATTATTTCCATGGCCACAATACAAAATATCAGACTTCAGTGAGCAATTAGTCAAAATTATGTACATATCAGAGAATGACTTTGCTGTTTACTGGAAACCTGGAGGTAAAAGAATCAATACAGAAAAAGCGATATGAAATCAGACAAGATGCCAAGTTTATCATCGTTAACTGTGTAGCAAGATGACCAATTCTGTTCAGAAGCTTTAGACAGACCAAGTACTTGGGTTTAAAAAAAACACAGCAAGGTTTCACGCACTTAAGTGCACAGTTATGTTCAGAATCAGATATGCACTGTAATTTACATTAAAAACTGAAAAGACAGGGATTAATCAAGCAGGGTTCAGATTAGAGGAACTCGGACATTGCAGCAATATTACACAGGACTGAAGCAATTTCCATCAGGAAAAAAGACTGGAACATGATCCAGATCTTCAAAATACAAAAAAAGAAATTGAAATCGCCAATTCAAGCATGTTAAACTATCGATGAAGGAGGACATGATTAACAAACACATGAACTGAAATAAGATACATTTCATTTTCTCTGAACTTAGATTCTGCAACACTGACCCCTGCTACCCCCTCCGTTATATGCCTTCTAAAATTAGTTATTGTGTGAACCTGCATCTCTGAAGAAAATATCCAGTTAGAACTGGAACTGAAAATTAAAATAATAACTGCAGGCAGAAATGGTCAAACAATACACAATTGAAGTGTCCTAGAATTATATAACATCCTGCAAGTAACACACAACACAACATTAGTGAATGCTGTATTATGAAAATATGGATTTGAGGAATGATGTGAATACAAGTCATTTTACAGTCATACTTCTGGAATTAAAAGGAGAAAATCAGTATTAAAAATCTTTCCAAGTTTAAATAAATTGCCAAGTCTACGATTAGGGAATTGTACATTGTGTATGCGCAGAAACAGTTCTTTTTGATATAAACTGTATTTTCTTACCGCATGCTTTCTTCGTCGTTGCAAAACTCAGCACTACATTAATTCAGTGTTTATGGGTGCATAAGAAAATATGAAGTGATCTTACATGTAACACAGCTTATCGTGCTGACTTAAAGATCCAAGTTTCTGGAACATAATCACGTTGATTTTTAACTACATATGAAATATATATGATTGTAATCATCTTTTTAATTTGTGCTGGAACACAAATTTAAACACAAGTTTAATTTGGCTAAATGCAAGCCTTGCTAGTTTTATCAAAATGCAAGACATACAAATAAATGTAGGGCCTTGGGTAGTGTTGTACAACGGAGAGACCTAAGGGGTAAGGTACATAATTTTTTTGAAGTCTGCATCACATATAGATAGGGTGGTTAAGAAGGCATTTAGCATGCTTGCTGACATTGCTCAGATCTTGGGATGTAGGATGTTGGTGAAATCTCTCCTGGTGCACTGTGTCCAGTTCTCGTCTCCCTGTTATAGGAAGGATACTATTAAGCTGGAGAGAGTTCAAAAGAGATTTACCAGGATGTTGCCAGAAATGCATGGTTTGAGTTATAAGGAGAGGCCAGATAGGCTGGGACTTCTTTCCTGTTCATGGGAGATTTAGAGGTGACCTTATAGAGGTTTATAAAACCGGAGAGGTGCAAGGTGAATGGCAGGTCACTTTTCCCTAGGGTGGGGAATAACAAGACTAGGGAGCGTATTTTTAAGAAGAGAGGAGAAAGATTTAAAGAGGACATGAGGAGTAATTTTCTTATACAGGTGGTTCGTGGGTGAAATTAATTTCCAGAGGAAGTGATGGATGCAGGTACAGTACGACATTTAAAATACAGTTAGATAAGCACATGAATAAGAAATGTGTGGAGGGATACAGGCCAAGCACAGGTAGGTAGAACTAGTTTACTTTGGGATTACGGTCAACATGTACTGGTTGGACTGAGGGGTCTGTTTCCATGCTGTATGACTTTATGATTCTATTACCCAAAACACATATGCAGAACAAATTCAAGATAAGTCAAGTAAATTAGCAAACATTTTCATAGAAAATTTTAATTCAAGTCCCATCTGGGAATTTTACCTGAGACCAAGTATAATTGTGAGATTGCTGTTGAGATACCTTGACTGAATGAGGAATATTAGATGGTGCTATGATAGGTCTTTGGGGTAACACAAGACCCCCAGGATGACTCATCTTACTTAGCTCCTTCCTTGTCACTTCCTCTGCACCTTCTGAAGCAGGGGTATTTGCATGATGGGCAAGAGAAACCTGAATTCTACTTTCTGCACAAAATGGTTTCTGTTGCATAGCTTCTTCTTGTTGCTGATGCAATTGATTTTGCTGGTACATTTGCCTATAGTGTGGTTGATCTTGGTAGAAATACTGAGGGGGTGCAGCCATTTGAATGTGCTGAGAAGGGTGGGATTGTTCTTGGGAGTACTGACGTGGCTGCTGCATGGCCTTGTGGTTTTGGTCTCCATGATATGGTGGTGGTGGCTGCATGGGTTGCTGCAACTGACACAAAATCTGCTGCGATTGACAGAACTGAACTGAATGCATGTGGCATTGCTGCTGCTGCTGATGCTGTACTGAACTGTGTTGTGGTGACTGCTGATGTACAAAATATTGTTGTTGAGGGAGTTGCTGAACCTGCTGGGACAACACCTGTTGAGCCTGCAGCTGCTGAACATGCGATTGCTGGTGCTGCAGTAAAGGCTGGTGCTGAGGCATTTGTGGCAATTGCTGGTACTCAAAATACATCTGCTGTTGTTGTTGTTGTTGCTGCTGCTGCTGATACTGGATAGCTTGTAACTGCTGCTTAGATTGTGCAACTGGAAACCCACAATGCATTTGCTGTGTTAAGGAATGTTGGAATCTCTGCATTGGATGGACAGCAGCTTGTTGTTCAGTTGGAGGTTTTTGGGACAACAGTTGCCGAAGAGTGCTGTCACGTGCATTCTCGACCATGGCAGTCTGACTTGGTTGGCTCGATGCTACATTGTTAGTCTGTTGCATTCTGAGGTTCTGATTTGTAAAAACCTGTGTGAAGGAGTCCAATTTGTGCAAGACATCACTCGTCAACTTCTGCGAGGAGGTGTCATTGGCTGAAGAAGAATACACGTAAGAATATCCATCTGGAGCATCAGTCTGAGCATTGGATGTCCATATCATAGAGGGATTATTAATGTCATTCTGCATATGAATATGATTGCCAGCATTAGAATGAGGCCAATTGTTTGGACGAGATGGCTCTATCCTAAGGCTTTTGGTAACAACTGGCATTGTTCCTGCTACTGCAGCTTCCCTTGAATGTGGAGGAAAATGAGGAGAAGATGGAGAAGTCTGAGATGTATCCATGCCTGCAGATCCATAGCTATGGTTCATATTCCCACTCATGTTGGTCAGAGGGCTCGACTGCGGCTGTTGTGGATAATACAGATTTTCTGTGTTGTTCACAGCATGATTTGTCTTGTACAAGGGTTGGTCTCCCATCATTTGTTCTTAAGGCAATTCAATCTTTAAATCACAAAATGATTACCAGGCCCGTAACAAAGCATAGAAATAGTAAAAATAAGTTTTGAATCCACAAGTTCCCTGAGAAAATTTTCCTTTAAGCCACAGTGGATTGCAAATTTTTAATACAATTTTCCTTGTATTTCAAGTTGTCAATGCAGAATCTTGTCTTGGAGTCAAAATGAATCTAGACTGGTGCATCACATCTTGATAAAAAATTTTATGGCACAGCTCAAAGTTGTCCATTGAAGTAAACCATCAATACACCTGTAATATAAATGAAAGAAAGGTCAGCAGGTGACCTCAAGCTTAACTTGTAACATTTTTCTATTCATTGAGGCAAAAGCTGCTCATGCTCTTGAGTGGCACTCAACATTTTTCAGATATCCAGATCAGATATAGCATAGCCAGATATAGAGTCAAACCACCTCTACTTTACTCCAATAAACACCTCGGCCCAAGTTTTGTAACAGCATCTGTACAGGACTCACGAAACATGTTTACTATTTCCAATATCAGCTATTCTATGGTGACTGCTAATTAGTCCAAGTTTTATCGTTGTCAGCCATTGCACAGCATCAACTAGATTGCTAAATCATTTGTTTGGTCCTTCTACACAGCAATCTGTGGGCACTTGCATTTCATTAACCAGGTCAGTTTGAACCCAAGTCCCAGAGGTGAAATACCAGTGACTAGCCACCTGGGCCCACATAGTGCACTTGTAAATGTTATGTGCTTAAACAAATCCCAATGAATAAACTGATGGTACACTGCAGTCTAAACCCGCTAAACCTTTAACAATTGAATGTTTTTGAGACCATCATAGATTCTCTTTGTAGATCTATTTAAATTATTACAATTCATTACCGTTTAAATTATTCCAACTATTGCTGAAAGGAACAATGGTTTCCATTTGCAGTAGAAATCATGGCCAGGCTATCAACACACCACTGTTGTAAAATAGATTAAACACAAATTTCTAGTTCTTATATATGCACAGTTAAAACTTCACAATTGCTAAGTTGCTTATGCTTCCCCACAAACTTCACTGATCCCTCACCAAGAAACTAGACACGAAGAAAGGTAGTGACATGAACTTTCAGTGTAAACATCACAGATACCTACCATGCAAGCGAGGGAAAGTGAAAACTTGTTATTCTCTACCTCACACTAAAATTAAACTTTTAAGGTTTGCACACTCTCTCCTGAAAGTTAAACTGCTATAGGAGATTTTGCGAAAATAATTTTTCTTGATTTTTTTCTTTCTGTCCCTATTCTCTTTCTTTCTGTACATAATTTGGCATTTAAAATCAACCATGCTAATTAATAGTTCCTGTGTCAGACAATGAAAGTATCAGGAAGAATGGTTCAATCGGATTGGTTAGCAAGACAACTCTTGTAGAGGTCCCTGAGGCCCTATAGAGGACACCACACTGTTTCCAATTTCAAAAAACTGCAATGTCCAGGGTAAAAGTGCATAGACAGCCTGTGATCACATGTAAAAATAGCTTGCACCATTCAGTTACTACTAAGACCACGAAAATATGGTGAAAGTCAGATTGATTGACCACATGCCGTTCTTGTAAAAAAACATTAACTGTGCTAAGTGGTGGCTTGATTACAAAACAAGAATAAGGGTTTTGTGATATCACTGAAATGCAGACTAATATTCCGAGGCAGTTCATGTGCTTTCTTCGTCAAGGGCAAAAACAGTTAGGCAGGTTTGTTTCAGCTAAAAATCTAAATGAGAAATAGCCCATTAAACACATCAGAAACTCACTGTAATCCATTATGCTAGCATACTCAGCATTAGCTGATCTCTCCTACTACAAGGAGCTCCATGAGCTATACATCTTCAATAAGACTAAGGATTACGGTGCAGGATTTCACAATGTATAATAGCAAACACAACCTGCTTGACTCTTTGTTTTATTGATTTTAAATTGAATTTTACAAAATTTAAATGGACAATTACATGGTTACATTTTACCTTGAGATTTCAAGATTCAAAAAAGAATCTGTGGAACTTAAAACATGAATACAATACAATTGTAAAAGTGAAAACAAGACAGCACTATGGAAATATTTCCACGTATACAATCTTTTTCTTATTTGGCCATGACAGTGAAATTGTTTTTGTTTAAACAAAACATTTATTTTCGTGAAAACAAAAAGTCTTTGTAAAATGCATCATCCAATGGTATCATGCAAAGTACTTACTGACTGAAGTGACTTTCATGCCCCACTCTGTTGGCAAAGAAGATGAAAAGCAGATGGATGTTCTCCAGTACCGTGGGGACACTGCTTGGCATTTAGCTCACATTTAAGAGCTATCATTGCCTGAAATAAAATTTGAACAGCGTGTTTACTTTCCTGGTCTGCCATTATGTCACATACATGTATGTTCCAAATGCTAGATCTGTTGCCAGCAAAGGTGCACAGACAATAAATAACATGAAAATCTTTTAAATGGTCAATTCAGCATTTCAGAGTATGTTACAGTGGGTAAAATTAAGTGAATAGCTAAGACAATGACAAGGAGCAAAAAAGTACATTTACATTTAGCTTCACCATACCATACTGCCTGCTTTGGACAATATTTTTGAGCAATTAATTTGCACATGGGTATTCCACAGAGAAGATATTAATTGGATAATAACAACACCTCTCATCTAAGACAAAATTTACAAAAGCTTCCTTATTACAATCAGCATAGGTTCAGTATTCCAGTATTGAAGATCTGCACTGTGATTTCATCTATTGATATCATAACTAGGATTGCTTAATTGTTCAGCTTATCAAAATTACAATCACCATCTTAGAAATTTCAGATATGATCAACTGTGTGACTGCACAAACTCTCATATTTAGTGAACATGCACATGCTTGAATGTCAATGCACACAAAATAAGGACAGAATGCCTTTCAAACAATCAAACTTCCATTTTACATGAGACAAATCTTTCTCTGCAGTACACACGATATTACATTGATTCACTAACACGAACATTGTTGACAACTTGGTGAACTCAAAAAAAGTGAGTGAATGAACATAAAATTATAGGAGTTGGTCAACTGCATGAGCGTGAATTATTTTCAGTAAGAACCAGGTACACAAAAACAGAAATAAATCCATCCTACTGCTCAACTGAAATTGCATGTTCATGTATACTCAATACAGTGTGCTCACATTTGCATGTCAAGTTGCCAGAGAAACAAACTGTGATTCCCACAAACAGTGGTCTGTGGTCATGCAGTGTGTACAGTACTATCTAAAAGATGCACTGCAGAAATTCAAAGATCCTTCCACAGAACCTTCCAAACCCATGACCACTTCCATCCAGAAGGACAAGGGCAACAGATACTTGGCAACACCACCACGTACAAATTCCCATCTAAGCCACTCACCATCCTGACATGGAAATATATCGCCATTCCTTCACTGTTGCTGGGTCAAAATCTTGGAATTCCCACTTAATGGCATTAATCCTTTGTACCACCTGCCCAAACTTTAATGTGACCATTTGTCCTGGACCTTGGAATATGCCAAACTGCTACACAGGCCGTGGATATTGTACAAGGGCCTGAAAGGGCTAATACAAAGGATTGTCTTAAGTACCACCCACTATGATGATGTCATTATCGGCTTGGAGGTTGTAAAGACCAGCTTCAGATTTCTAAGAAATAAGACCCTCACTGCTGCAATACAAATTTGGCTTCAAGCGGGGCAAGAATAGCAACTCAACATCTCTGGGCAAAGACATTTCAGTCAGGAGAAGGGGTTAAAAAAGGTGGGGGTGGAGCATTATTGATTAAAGAATCAATTATAGTTGCGAGGAGGGATTAAACACAGAATCATCCAATGAGGTTGTATGATTGACATCAGCAACAAAAAAAAAGGTCAGCACACTGCTTGGTGTGACTATTGACCCCAAACAGTGGCAGACAGTCAGGTAAGCAAACATGTAGCAGACATGTCAGTGTTGAAATAATAGGGCAAGAACAGTGATAGTTAGGGATATCAACAACCCAAATATGAACTGGGATAAAAGTCGCCATAATCCCAAAGGACCACAGACGACTGGTGGCGAGTATAACCCGAGGGTCACCATGCCTCAGGCAAGGGTGAGAAGGCAGGTCCTTCCAGATAACCTTAGCGAGTGTGGGCAACAAACTCACTGTTGGAGTCATTCTGTACAGCAAATCAGTCATCCAGCCATCTGAGTGAATCAATACCCGCTCCCGCCCGACCTACCGACCCCACCCCCAAACACAGTGTAAAAGACCCAGAAGTCACAAACTTCTTCAACTACATTCTGGATAACATTTTTAGCCAAAGCATAAAAAACCCAGTGGGGTAAAGGCTATAATTCCAGATTTAATCTTAGGAAACGAAGCTGGGCAGGTGCATAAAGCAGCAGCAAGTGACCATTCCAGATAGTGATCAGCAGCATTACAGAGACAACGATTGTAAATTGGGGGAATGCAAATTATACGGAGCTGAGAGATGATCTGGCAAAAATAGACAGAGTATGGTTGTGTGAAAGTAAGTCAGCGGTAAATCAGTGGGAGACATTCAAACATGAGATTATAGAGGCACAGCATAGTCATTTCCCCACAATGAAAAAAGGGTGGTGCCGCCACATCTGCAGTAGACTGGCTATGTAGAAGCATAAAGGATAAGATCAAAAAAAGCTTACAACCATTTGAAAAAATATAAAAAAACTTTAGTAAGTTTTAGAGGGGTGCAGAAAGCCCAGACAGGGCCAAAAAGGAAATTCAGAAAGCAAAGAGAATGAGAGAAAATATTACTGGTAAAATAAAAGATAAATCCAAAGATGCTTTATGGTGAAGATTAACAGGAAGAAGATGACCATATAAATAGTATGGCCTGGTAGAGATACACATGGTAACTTGCGCCTGGATGCACAAGAGGTGGGCAAGGTTCATAATGTGTACTTTTTCCTTGGTCTTCACAAGTGGGAGGATGCAGATGTTCCAGTTTCAGATTACTGGAGGAACTGAACTTCTTGAAGGTAGATAAATCACCAGGGCCAGATGAATTGTATCTTTGATTGTTAAACGAAGCCAGTAATGAAGTCGTGGATGCTTGATTCAAGTGAGAAACCAGAGAATTGGAAATTTGTAAATGTTGTACCATTGTTCAAAAAATGAAGGTGCAATAGTTATGGGATAGTCGACCTGACCTTGGTGGTGGGCAAATTACTCAAATCAATTACAGAGAAATAGAATTAATTTTAAGTTAATTCGGCACAGATTAAATCTGTTTTGTTAAGGGAAAGTCAGGTTTTACAAACTTATTGACTTTTTTGAGTTTATAACAAGGAGAACTGATGAGGGTAGTGCAGTGGATGTCATTTGCATGGATGTTAATAAGGCATTTGACAAGGTCCAACATGACAGATTGGTGAGAAATTCAAAACCTAAGAGATTCAGGAGAATGCTTTGAGTTGAATCCAAAATTGGCTCAGTAGCAGCAACGTTTAATGAACAGCAGAGGTTTCTGAAAAAGGGAAATCTGTTCCAGTGGGCTCAGTGATAACAAGGTGTGGAGCTGGATGAACACAGCAGGCCAAGCAGCATCATAGGCTGACGTTTTGGGCCTAGACCCTTCATCAGAAATGGATGATGGTTTGGTGCTCAGGGGTGGGGTCATGAGAAAAGGGGGCGGTAGGAGGTGGTGTCGGAGAGTTGGCGTCTGGCCTCGGCGATGTAGAGGTCAGTGCGCCATACTACAACTGCGCCTCCCTCGTCCGCGGGTTTTATGGTGAGGTTGGGATTGGAGCGGAGGGCTGCATGTTCTACGGGGGAGAGGTTGGAGTGGGTGAGAGGGGTGGAGAGGTTGAGGCGATTGATGTCGTCTCGATGGCAGTTGGAGATGAAGAGGTTGAGGGAGGGTAGGAGGCCTTGGGGTGGTGTCCAGGAGGAGGGGGTGTGTTGGAGGTGGGAGAAGGGGTCAGTAGAGGGAGGGTTAGGTTCATGGTTGAAGTAGTAAGCGTGGAGGCGGAGGTGGCGGAAAAACTGCTCTATGTCCAAACGTGACCAGTATTCGTTGATGTGTGGGTGGAGGGGGACAAAGGTGAGCCCTTTACTGAGGACTGACCGTTCGTCCTCAGTAAGGGGGAGGTCTGGGGGGATGGTGAAGACTCGGCAGGGCTGGGTGCTACAGTCTCCTCTGGAGCTGCTGGCTGTGGAGGCTGTGGGCAGAGCGACATCGGCGTCGGCTGTGGGCGGAGTTGCGTCGGCGTCGGTAATGGGCGGAGCAGCATCGGCAGTGGGTGAAGCGGGGTAGGCGGCGGCAGCAGCAGCGGTGACGGTAGGCGCGTCTTCAGTGTCTGTGGTGTTGGTCTCGGAAATGGAGGCGGTGGCATCAGCAGCGATGGCGTTCGCTGTCCCGGAAGTGGGGTACCCAGCGGTGGTGGATGTGACGTCATCTGTGGGTTCTCCGAAAGTGGCCTTATGGCCAATGGCGGCGGGCACATTGTGGGGAAGGCCCTGGGTATGGCTGGGGACTTGGGAGGTGGAGGAAGCCCGTTTTGGGTGGCAGGCACCAGTAAGTTTACTGTACTTACGGTTTTTAGTGTCCAATAAAGCTGAGTAGAATTGAGAGTTCAGGTTGTGGATCCTACGAAGAATAAAAACAGGAGAGGTCCTTTGCAGGTCTGGGAGAGGGAGACTCTGAGCTGGGGTAGGCTTGATTGTAGTGCCAGGAGGTGCTGGCGCATTGCTGCGAGTGTGTGTTTCAGGAGTCGCAGGGAGAAACGCTTCTGAAGGATCTCAATGCTATGAATGTAGACATTGTCACGGTTGGGGCCAAATTGGGAAGGCCTGAATGTGGACTGTAGTCCATTGGGGATGATCTGGTTCCGTAGGCAGGTACTAAGAAAGGTGATGTGGCTGTAGTACCTGGTTTGCTTCAGGACATGGTCGAGCAGTTTCAAGGCCGAAGAGATTACGAGAGAGTTGCAGTGGGAGAGAGATCCCCTGAGGTTTGTCCGGAGGGAGGAGGGTAACTTCTTCAGGCTAGGCATCCTTAGAAGAGGCTTCGCAGTGGGGTTAAAATTGTATCAGAGATAGTAGGAACTGCAGATGCTGGAGAATCTGAGATAACAAGGTGTGGAGCTGGATGAACACAGCAGGCCAAACAGCATCATAGGAGCAGGAAGGCTGACGTTTCGGGCCTAGACATATTAGAAATGGGGGAGGGGAAGGGAGTTCTGAAATAAATAGGGAGAGA